AGGGCTCTCTGCTTAACAAATGCATTCCCTGCAACTGCAGCCACCCCGGACATCATCCTCTGAACTGGTCCCCTTCACCTTACCTGCTTCACAGAATTGTCATCTGGGATCAGGTAGAGATGTAGGGTTGTATTTGCAGCGCGGAGCTGCTGGAAGATCAGCACTAAGGAGTGCATAGGGAGAGAAATGGCTGAACGTAACTTTCTCCAAACCACCCCAAGAAGAGAGAAGCTGGGATTCTCCAGAACAGCAGAGAAAGCCATCACTTCTGTTGGTTGCTGCATGGTCATCTTCTGGAATTCAAAATGGGCAATAGAGCATCCACTGATGTCTACATCTGAAAGAGACAGCAAAGGCAAAAAGGTTCTGCTTTGTCTTCCTTGCACCCTACCACGTTACCTCCTTCTCTTTGAGGTTTCCTTAGAAGAAAGGAGACACACACCAACACAAAATGACATGCTCTGCTTTAGGGGTGATGAATGCTATGGGATTTACAGGGTTCCTGTGTCCTGCAGGGTGATACAGGGCTTTGTCTTCCTTTCGGGTCAGAAAACTGCAAACTTGAGGTAGCATTTTGGGACTGCTGTGGATCTGGGGCAGAACCTTGTAGGTCACCACAGCCACTACGAGAGGAGGAGAGGAGAATGCAGGGGTGTGAGTGCAGAGCAGGTACTGTGAGAAGGGAGCACTGTGAAGGTTTAATATAACATGAGAAAAGGACGGAGGATGGCAAAGCAAGGTGGAAGAATACAAGGAAGCAAAGGCTACCTCTGAAGGGAGGACAAAGTTGACCCTATCTGGAGAGCGGTCTCCATGAGTTGTTTTGATAATTCACTGTTTTTAGCCTCTGTGAGCAGGTCCTGGAGGCATCCCTGATGGACAGGAACTGGAGGCTGAGGGAAAGCAGCCTGGCAGAACCCAGGTTCTTGAGGGGCAGGGGGCTGTGCCAGGGAGCAGGTCCCATGGCTGCTGTACCTGACAGACAGATGAAGTGTGGGAGATACACAGCCCGCACGGTTCCAGGCAGCGCCCAGATGTTGAAAAGAGGCCCAGCAGGTACCCACACATTCTGGTCAGCCTCTTTCAGATGCGTGCTCCAGGAATCATATCTGTACACGATGGTCGCTGCTGACTCCACCTCAAAAGCAAGGCCTGTCTCAGAGCACTGGAAGGTGCCTGGTCCAGGGAGACAAGCTCTGCAAGTGGGAAAGAGGGCAATCTCACGCCATGTGTGACAAGGGCTTTTGGAAAGCATTCCCACTTCTCCTAGGAACTCTTACTTGTATATGTTTTGTTCCTTCAAAACGTATGGATCTATCTCCAGCTTCTCTTCTTGAAGTTCCTGCAACACAAGTGTGACTGGTTTGTTGCTGAATAGGGTGTTATGCACTGGATGCCACTTGCAGGAGGTATGCTGAGAGCTGCAGTGAAGCACAATGCAGGTTGTTCTGTGAGCTGTGAACCTCACAAGCAGCAGTAGGGTAATGAGCAGCTCTGCCCAAGCAATGCTATTTTGCTATTTTTGTCCCCTCTCCTGATCATCGAATCATAGAATCACCAAGATTGGAAAAGATCCACAAGATCACCCAGTCCAACCATCCACCAATCACCAATAGTTCTCACTAAACCATGTCCCTCAACACAATATCCAAATGTTCCTTGAACACCTGATATATAATGGCGAGCGGCTTAGCTATCACTTCCGTCAGTTCCCTCAGCGCTCTCAGGTGAATCTCATCCAGCCCCATGGACTTGTGGCAGTCCAGTTGGAGTAGTAGGTCTCTGACTTTGTCCTCCTGAATCGTGGGGGGTTTAATCTGCTCCCCACTTGAGGCTACCAGGTCAGAGAGTGGAGTACCCTAGGGATAACTGGTCTGACTTTTAAAGACAGATGTAAAGAAGGCATTCAGAACATCTGGCTTTTCCTTATCCTCTATGGTCACATTCCCAGCCTCATCCAGTAAAGAATGGAGATTCTCCTTGGTCCTCCTCTTACTGCTGATATATTTGTAAAAGAGTTTCTTGCTCCTTTTTACCCCAGTGGCCAGACTGAGTTCATGCTGGGCTTCCGACTTTCAGATTTTCTCTCTACATATCTTAACAACTTCTTTGTATTGTTTCTGAGTTGCCTGTCCCTTCTTTCATGGAAGGTAGATTCCTTTTTTCTCTCAGAGCCCTAAGAATAGCTCTCTATTCATCTATGCCAGTCTTCTTCCCCGCTGGCCCATTTTGCAGCTCAGGGGGACAGCCAGTTCCTGCTCCTTTAAGACTTCCTTCTTGAAGAGTGACCAGCCGTCTTGGACCCCTTTACTCTCTAAGACTGAGTACCCGGGAAGTCTCCCTACTAGTCTTCTGAACAATTCAGAGTCCACCCTCCGGAAGTCCAACATAGCAGTTTTGCTGTTTCCCCTCCTGGCTCCACCAAGAATTGAGAACTCTACCATCTCATGGTCACTCTGTCCAAGACAGCCCCTGACCTCCACATCTCCCACCAGACCTTCTCTGGGCAGCTCCTCTTGTAGGCTCTCTCACCAGCTACATCAGAAAATTATCTTCCATATACTCAGAAACCTTCTCGACTGCTTCCTCTGTGCTGTGTTGTATTCCCAGCGTATGTTGAGAAAGTTGAAGCCCCTCATGAGGAAAAGGGCTTCTGCAACTTGCTCATAGAACACCTCATCTGTCTCTTCATCCTGGTTTGGCAATCTATCACAGACTCCCACCAGATTGTCTGCCTTGTCAGCCCTTCCCCTGATCTTTACCCATAGGGATTCAACCTTATCATCCCCAGCCACAAGCTCAGTAACATCAGAGCACTCTCTAAGTTAGAGAGCCACGCCGCCACCCCTCCTTCCTTGCCTATCCATTTGTAGTTTGTAGCCATCCATTGCATCACTCCAGTCATGGGAGCAGTCCTACCACATTTCCGTAATGGCAACTAGATCATAGCTTGCCTGCTGCACAGTGGCTTCCAAACTCTTCTTGTTTGTTGCCCATGCTACGTGCGTTGGTGTAGATGTACTTCATCTGAGCCCCTCGCCTCACCCCTAATCCCATTACTGTTCCCCCAGGCTCATCTGTAGCAGGCCTGGTTTTATCCCCTTCCCCCTTCATATTTAGTTTAAAGCCCTCTTTACAAGTCCCGCTAGCTCCTGGGCAAGGATCCGTTTCCCCCTTTGAGACAGGTGACACCCATCAGCAGACCTCAGGCCAGGTGCCGAGTAGACCTCCCCATGATCAAAGAACCCCAAATTTTTGTATTTGCACCAGCCTCTTAGCCACGTATTTATAAGATGGGTTTTCCTGGTTGTCTCAGTGTCCTTCCCAGCCACTGTAGGAATACAGGGAAATGCTACTTGTATGCCTTCTCCATCAACTAACCTCCCCAGTCACCTAAAATCATTTTTTATGGTCCTCAGGCTTCTGTCAGTAACCTCATCACTACCGGCCTGAACTATCAATGGAGGATAATAATCAGAGGGGTGGATCAGACTGGGAAGTTTTCTAGAAATATCCCTGACCCAGGCCCCAAGGGAGGCAGCACGGCACCCTATGGGTAGGGTCAGGATGACATATTGGGCCCTGAGTTCCTTTTAGAAGGGAGTCACCTATGACTATCACCCTCCTTTCTTCACTGGAGGAGGCAGTCTTCAAGTGTGCAGCTGATCGCCTCACCTTAGACAAACTTGGAGGCAGTCCTCCTACCTCATCCTCACTCACCTCTTCTTCTGGTTTCAGAGCTTCAAACCTATTACTCAGAGGCACCTGGGGAACCGAGGTAGGTCGAGATGGCGGTTGCCTGCGTCGCCGAGCTGGGACATGCTGCCATTCCTCCTCTCCTCTCAAGTTTGCTCTCTCTGTTCGACTATGGCAAGAGAACTAAAAAGAAGAAAGAAGGCTCTGGGAGAAAGGGTGAGGGAGAGTCAGCCTGAAAGCAGCAGGAGTCTGGTGCAAGCAAGGTGCCTGGTGGTCTGGTTGCAGAAACAGTTCCCTACGTGCAGGCTCTGACACATGACCTAAGGTGAGCCAGCATGGTGCCTTCTTTCAGCTGCCTGCCACCAAGCAGCCCCCAGACACCTTCTGTTTTTACTCAGGCACGTGACATGGTGGGAAGCAGCTGTTCAGCAAAGGAGCGCTCATGAAAGTTGCCCAGTGCTTTCATTTACCTGCTGTTGTGGTTGTATATCAAGCATACCGTGTTACTTTTATCTCTTCAGAACAAGAGGACTATAGACCCTGCTGTGTGCTGTCTAGAAAACATCACTCATCAGATAAGAGGCCAGGAAAATCAATGACTGGCAACCACCCTAGGATCCGAGGTAGGCATGGGACATTTTTGAGGCAGGCAGGCTCAGTGCTGACAAGAGCTGTGCCCTGTGAGGATCTGTAAGGCCAGTGCAGAGAGAGCAGTGGGCAAGGACCCTTACCTGCCTCACACAGTGACAGCTTCTTTCCTCTGCTGGGACATCTGACTGTGGCCATTTCTGGATTTCCTGGAGAAGGGAACACAGGAGGAACACTCCCAAGCCATAATTCTCCCCTCAGCCATGCTTGCTTGCTAGGGGCACGAGGAAAGGTCTCCTGGATGCAGCACAGGCAAGCCCTGCTGCAGGACACTGAGTGCCACAGATCCCAGTAGGGATGGCTGTGGGCTCATGGTGCAAAGCCCTGCCTGCTGCCCAGCTCTGTCACACTCCTCCCTCTGTCCCAGGCCTCGGGCATCCCACCAGGCCTTACCTCTGCACTTGTTGAGGTGATGCCTGCCAGATAGCTCTTCATTTCGATAATTGAGATGGCATCCGCCAAACCACTTTCCATTTTTATCCTTGAGGCAATTCCTGATAAACCCTGTTGTTGAATCTCTGGTTCTTGATTGCCTATGGCTGGAACAAGAAGATATTCATTGTCTCACAACTCACTGCAGTCACCTGAAAGGAGGATGCTGCTTAGGACAGTGTTGGTCTCTTTCCTTGGGTGACAAGCGCAAAGATGTGAGGTGGTACTGGGGAAGTTCAGGCTGGATGTCAGGAAGAATTTGTTCCCAGAACAGGTGGCCAGGCATTGGGACAGACTGCCCGGGGAGGTGGTGGAGTCCGAGTCCCTGGAGGTATTTAAGGGAGTGCGGCTGTGGCACTGAGGGGGAAGGTTTAAAGGTGGATTTGTAATGTTAGATGGATGGCTGGACTTGATCGAATGGGTCTTTTCCAACTAAAATGAAGCCATCCTACCTTCACCCAGTCTTTCCCATCCCATTAGCTGCACAGTCCCTGCGTACCACCGCATGCTCCCAGATTTTCCACAGCTTCCATGTATGAAGTAGACACACACTCACCACCCATGCAGATCCCCTCCCTCCACAAGAGTGCCAGAGAGGACTGTGATCTTACCTGAGACATCTTCCTTGCCCTTTAAGGGAGCTGAACCACCACCTCGCACTGCAACAACACAGAGCAGAGGAGAGCTCAGGAGCCCGGTCACATCAGGGGAAGCATTCCCCCACATCCATTTTCCTTTCTGCCCTCCCCTCACAGTTCTTCCCTCCCAAGGCACAGGGCTCCCTGGCTGACAGTCCTCTTGCCCCTTCCCCTTGGCAGCCAGAGGCCAGCCTGCTCCCATGCCCATTCCCCATCTCTGGTACTTACACCTTTCAACGCGGTGTACAATGCTGTTGGAGGTAATGTTGTAATGTCTGAGAGTTAGTTCGTTCGCCATCTGCTGGCCATCATGAAACAGTCGTGCCTGAGAAGGGTAGAAATAGCTATCCAGTGCAAATAACTTCATCTTTAGGTCCAGAACCGTATCGTCCAAAGACACTGGCACAGAAATAATATTTCCTAACAAAGATTTCACAACGATGGAGAATGTGGAGCTGAGTGTGGTCTCCGTCATCTTTGCTTTGCCTCTTTCAGCCACCTGAAAATCAGCGATGTCTGTGGGTGAGGGCGCACAAGAGTCTCGGGGCCAGACACGGCCATCCAGGAACAGGCAGCTTCCCACAATTCTTCTGTGTCACTTCCCTAGAAAGTGAAAGTACGGAGAGATTTCGGGGGAAAAAATGCATGTCATCACTGCCTCCTCTGGCCTTTGAGTGTCAGTGGAGGGAGATGGGGAGGCAGGGGATGCAGAGGAAGAGTAAAGCAGGAAGGCTGTACTTCTTCCCTAGGGCATGGCTTGCATTAGGACTCCTTCAGGCCCTTTTGTGTGCCAGCACGGAGAGCCCAGAATCATACCCCATACTGTCCTGATTTACCCCAGTGCGCTTGGCCAGAGATAGGGATGTGTGTCTTGGCCCATATCTGCACTTGGCCATGTTGGGGGCTGCAGGCACAGCAATGCCATAGGGTTTTTCCCCACCTGCTGCTGTGGGTCTGTGAGCAGAGAGCATCTCACTTCAAAAAGGGCTGTCGCAGCAAGGAGAGTTGTCCCATTCCCAGCAGCCAGTCAGGGGCTGGGTCTCCCCTTCTTGAGATGGGGGGTAGAAATTCAGCCCAGGACCATGGGTCGTGTGTAAGTAATGCCACGCAAGAGGGCAGTCAGCATCCTACACAATATCAAGGTTGTATAATCAGTGTGAAAAGCAGTGGTAACCCAACACAATCTGCATCTAGGGAAGAAGAAACAAGGTGGGCAGATCACCATCTACTGCCTGTGCGGAACTATTCCTTCTTGTCCCATAGTCCTGGGCTGAATTTCCACCCCCACAGCTCAAGGAGGGGTGGCCCAGTTCCTAACTGGATGCATGACCTCCCTGTCCCTGTCCCTGCTTCCCCTCCTTCCCCATCTCCCTGCCCTGACAGATGGACGGCAGATGAGGGTGTGATAACACACCTTATTTCCCCAAAATCACTCTTTCTTGGGAAGCGACAAAGGTGGAAGAATTGTGGGCAGCTGCCTGTTTTTGTCCAAACGTCTGCAGCCCTGAGTCCCATGTCCCTCACCCACAGACACCACCATGTTTCAGATGGCTGAATGAGGCCAAAGACAATGGAGATCATGTTCAGCTCTACATTCTCCATCCCTGTGAAGTCTATCACAGGAAAATCTACTTTTGTCCCGTTATCTTTGGACGATACGGTTCTGGACCTAAAGATGAAGCTATTTGCATGGGATAAGAATTTCTACCCTTTTGAGTCAGTGCTGATTCATGATGGCCAGGAGTTGGCAAACGAACTAACTCTCAGACATTACAACATTACATCCAACAGCATTGTACTCCACATTCTTAGGCGTAAGTACCAGGCCAGAGGTGGGTGTGGGAGCAGGCTGGCCTCTGGCTGCCAAGGGGAGGGGGCAAGAGGACTGTCAGCCAGGGAGCCCTGTGCCTTGGGAGGGAAGAACTGTGAGGGGAGGGCAGAAAGGAAAATGGATGTGGGGAAATGCTTCCCCTGATGTGACCGGGCTCCTGAGCTCTCCTCTGCTCTGTGATGCTGTTGCAATGTGAGCTGGTGGTTCAGCTCCCTTAAAGGAGAAGATGTCTCAGGTAAGATCACAGTCCTCACTGGCACTCTTGTGGAGGGAGGGGATCTGCATGTGTGGTGAGTGTGTGTCCACTTCATACGTGGAAACTGTGGTAAATCTGGGAGCATTTTATTCCAACCACAAATGAACGAGAAGAGATTCAATTTCCATTGATGGAACTGCAGGACTTTCTGCCATACTCCTCCACAATGATAGAAACGCAGAGCGGCTTAGCACGCATCACAAGTGTAGAATGGAAGGGCGCTCCAGCAGATGCCACCTAATGGATGGAAATTCAGGATTGTCTGGCAGGCATCACCTCAGCAAGAGCACAGGTGAGGTCTGGTGGGATTCCCGAGGCCTGGGACAGAGGGAGGAGTGTGACAGAGCCGGGCAGCAGGCAGGGCTGGGCACCACGAGCCCACAGCCATCCCTGCAGGGATCTGTGGCACTCAGTGCCCTGCAGTGGGGCTGGCCTGTGCTGCATCCAGGAGGCCTCTCCTCGTACCCTAGCAAGCAAGACAGCTGAGTGAAGGAATGTGGCTTGGGAGTGTTCTTCCTGTGTTCCCTTCTCCAGGAAATCCAGAAATGGCTACAGTCAGATGTCCCAGAGGACGACAAAAGTTGTCACGCTGTGATTCAGGTAAGGGTCTTTGCCAGATCTGGGCCAAGACACGTGTCCCCATCTCTGGCCAAGCACACTGGGACAAATCAGGACAGCACAGGATATGATCCTGGGCTGCCCTTGGTTACACACAGAAGGGTCTGAAGTAGTCCTAATGCAAGCCATGCCCTCAGGAAGAAGCTCTGCCTCCCTGCCTCCCTGCCTCTCTGCTTCCCCTCCCTCCCCATCTTCCTGCCCTGACAGATGGAAGTCAGAGGAGGGAGTAATGACATCAGTCCATTCTTACACTTTCTAGGGAAGCGACACAGGCGGAAGAATTGTTGGAAGCTGCTTGTTCCTGGCTGAACGTCTGCAGCCCTGAGACTCGTGCCCCTCACCCATGGACACTGCCGTGTTTCAGGTGGCTGAAAGAGGCAAAGCAAAGAGGGCGGAGACCACGCTCAGCGCCACATTCTTCATCCCAGTGGTGTCTGCTTCAAGAGAAATTATTTTTGTGCCGTTATCTTTGGATGACACTGTTCTGGACCTAAAGATGAAGCTATTTCCACTGGATAGCAACTCCTACTCTTCTGAGTCCATGATTCATGATGGATCGGAGCTGATGAATGAATGAAATTTGAGACAACATTGCCTCCAGCAGCACTGTACAGAAATTTCTTAGGTATAAGTACCAGGGGGGAAGAAGGGAGTGGCCATGGGAGCAGGCTGGCCTCTGGCTGCCAAGGAGAAGGGGCAAGAGGACCGTTTATCAGCGTGCTCTGTGCCTTGGGAGGACTGCCTTTTTTAGGGCATTTTGGGTTCTCAGAGGGGAGAGGGGGAGCCACACTCCGGGATTACCTACCACGCAAATAAAGAAAAGTGCACCTCCTTGCAGGCCATCAGACGCACTTCCTCCGGCCTGCTCTTTTGATGCAGAGAAACGCTTGCCCTGCCGTCTACTACCGTAAGAACTCGAATTTTGGACACTAATTTCTCTCTCATTTTGTTTGATTTTGTTGGATTTAGTAAATTACCCTTCCTCCTCATTCTTCCAGATTCTTTTATTTTTTAAAAAAACCTGCTATCTCCCTACTCTTCCCTTCCCCCCTCTTCCGGAGTGCCCAGTTCGCAACGTGCCTCATTCCACATGGGACTGGGGAGGACAGGCCGCTCCCCAGAAAGTGAAGTAGCTTTTTTTCCCCTCTCTTTTGTCTCCTTTGGGGCTTGTGCCCCTCTCATGGACACGTATCTAGAGATAACTCTGCGACAGGAGGGAAGAACTGTGAGGGGAGGGCAGAAAGGAAATTGATGTGACCGGGCTCCTGAGCTCTCCTCTGCTCTGTGTTGTTGCAGTGCGAGGTGGTGGTTCAGCTCCCTTAAAGCGCAAGGAAGATGTCTCAGGTAAGATCACAGTCCTCACTGGCACTCTTGTGGAGGGAGGGGATCTGCATGGGTGGTGAGTGTGTGTCCACTTCATACATGGAAGCTGTGGTAAATCTGGGAGCATGCGGTGGTGCATCAGGGGACTGTGCAGCTAATGGGATGGGAAGAATGGGTGAAGGTAGGATGGCTGCAATTTGGTTGGAAAAGTCCCATTTGATCAAATCCAACCATCCACCTAACATTACAAATCCACCTTTAAACCTTCCCCCTCAGTGCCACAGCCACACGTCCCTTAAATACCTCCAGGGACTGGGACTCCACCACCTTCCTGGGCAGTCTGTCCCAATGCCTGGCCACCAATTCTGGGAACAAATTCTTCCCGACATCCAGCCTGAACTTCCCCAGTGCCACCTCACATCCTTTTGCATGTCACCCAAGAGACCAACACTGTCCTCAGCAGCATCCTCCTTTCAAGTGATTGCAGTGAGTTGTAGAGACAAAGACCATCGTCTTGATCCAGACCAAGAACCAGAGGTGCAACTGCAGAGCAGTCAGGCAGGCAACACCTCAGAGACAGAGGTAGAAGCCATTTCAGCAGGCATTGCCTCAACAAGAGTAAAGGTGAGGTCTGGTGGGATGCCTGAGGCCTGGGACAGAGGGAGGAGTGCAACCGGGCTGGGCAGCAGGCAGGGCTTTGCACCATGAACCCGCAGCCATTCCTGCAGGGATCTATGACACTCAGTGTCCTGCAGTGGGGCTGGCCTGTGCTGCATCTAGGAGGCCTCTCCTTGTACCCCTGGCAAGCAAGCATGGCTGAGGGGAGAATTATGGCTTGGGAGTGTTCTTCCTGTGTTCCCTTCTCCAGGAAATGCAGATATGGCTACAGTCAGATGTCCCAGAAGAGGAGAGAAACTGTCACTGTGTGAGGCAGGTAAGGGCCCTTGCATACAGCACTGCTCTGCATTGGTTTTATTGGTCTCACAGGGCACAGCAGGCAGATCGCTGTCCCACCAGTACCTCCAGGACTTGTTGATAACAGCAATTATTTGGTCTACAGAAGAGTCTAGTCACCTTCTTGCACTAACTCAGCATGCATTGATCTGTTTTATATTATTGACAAGGCAAGGATTTTAAGGATTTGACAGCAATGATCAGCGATGTTCAAGGATCATGAGCATATATGTCCCATGCCTGCCTTGGATTCGAGGGCGGTTGCCAGTCATTGATTTTCCTGCCCTCTTCTCTGATGTGTGATGTATTCTGGACAGCACACAGCAGAGTCTGTAGTCCTCTTGTTCTGAAAAGGTAAAAGAAACACAGTATACTTGATACACAAACACAGCAGCAAGTAAATGAAAGCAACTTTCATGAGCGCTCCTTTGCTGAACAGCTGCTTCCCACCATGTCATGTGTCTGAGTAAGAGCAGGTGTCTGGGGGCTGTTTGGTGCCAGGCAGCTGAAAGAAGGCACCATGCTGGGTCACCTTAGGCCATGTGTCAGAGCCAGCAAACAGGGTACCAGGCACTACACCCTTCTGGCTTTCAAGCTGTTAACTCCTTCACCATCCTTTCTTCTATGTGGTTTCTCTGATCTGGACGGGGGGAAAAAAAGAGCAAAATAATATTGCTTGGGCAGAGCTGCTCATTACCTTGCTGCTGCTTGTGTGGTTCACAGCTCATGGGTCAACCTGCATTGTACTTCACTGCAGCTCTCAGCACACCTCCTGCAAGCAGCATCCACTGCACAACACCTCAATCAGCCCCAAACCAGTTGCTCTTGTATTGCAGGAATTTCAAGAAGTGAAGCCAGAGGTAGATCCACACACTTTGAAGGAACAAAACATATACAAGTAAGAGCTCCAAGGAGAAGTGGGAATGCTTTCCAAAAGCCCTTGTCACACATGGCGTGAGATTGCCCTCTCTCCCACTTGCAGAGCTTGTCTCCCTGGACCAGGCATCTTCAAGTGCTCTGAGACAGGCCTTGCCTTTGAGGTGGAGTCAGCAGCGACCATCGTGTACAGATATGATTCCTGGAGCACGCATCTGAAAGAGGCTGACCAGAATGTGTGGGTACCTGCTGGGCCTCTTTTCAACATCTGGGCGCTGCCTGGAACCGTGCGGGCTGTGTATCTCCCACACTTCATCTGCGTGTCAGGTATGGCAGCCCTGGGACCTGCTCCCTGGCACAGCCCCCTGCCCCTCAGGCACCTGGGTTCTGCCAGGCTGCTTTCCCTCAGCCTCCAGTTCCTGTCCATCAGGGATGCCTCCAGGACCTGCTCACAGAGGCTAAAAACAGTGAATTATCAAAACAACTCATGGAGACTGCTCTCCAGATAGGGTCAACTTTTTCCTCCCTTCAGAGGTAGCCTTTGCTTCCTTGTATTCTTCCACCTTG